AAAAAAAACAACACATTTTAATATTTCCATTTGGAATCAGTTTTGTATCTTTAGTTGTTGTATTTTACTTCATCAGTCCAAGTGTAAATGCTGAAACTTGAACTTAAGAGAAAAGATATTGTAATTCTTTCTAAAGCTCAAACTAATTATTAGGTATTTAAACAGTATGATGCACATACATACGTACACAGTATGAAAACTGATCATTATAATAGTGTATACATTTGCCCTTTTACAGTACTGAAAAAAAGGAACTGAATGGACAATCACACCATTGTGCACATGCATCCTGTCCTCCTCAACTATGTCAGATTCATTAGTTTATATCACACACACACACACACACACGCTTAACACAGAAAATGTCTGAGGTTTGTATTACAACTCTACAAATCCAAAATTTAAATTAAAATCAGCAAATCGTGATTTTTTGGGATATTCAAACAATACAGAGTAGCAAATACTTTGTCACATGATTAGGATACAGGAAAAATCAAAAGGGACTGTCATTTCGGTTACCACCAAATAAAATTACACTTTTTTGGGCATGACCTGACACATCTTTCTCTAAATAATCATATAATATGGTGCTAACTTTGCATTGTTCCTGGCTTCTTGCATCTTACATTGTTCAACAGTGACACATTTACAGTGAGAAATATAAATGTAATAAAAAAATATTGCTCATCATTATAACATGCTGTCAACCTTTTGTCAGGACAGCCTTACTGTGGTCATTATGGTTTCAAACACACATTTCTGCAGGTAGTTTTGTTCACAGAGGATGAAATTCAAATAAGAAATAAGTAAATTGCCACTAGCAAAGTATGTCTAGAAGATATAGTTTCACTTCTAATTTTTATTACCAGTACTCCAAAAAATCTTTTTTGGGGTGAAAAATGTTGCCACAATTTTGAAAGACAAAATGAGAAGGCACAAACTTGCCTGACAAGAACAGTATAGCACTGATGATCCAGTCCATTGTGTTACTCCCATGAAAAAAATAAACTTAAGTGTGATTTTTTTTCTGTTTCAGTGTGACTACTCAAATGAGATGTTACTTCTTCTGAAAGTGCTGAAGGTTGAAACTAAAATGCACAATGCACAGAGTGAATGCTCAAACTTAAGACAGTCATTTAGAGGAACTCTAATGTAGGAGGAGTTATAATACTGATATCACTGTCTGTTATATTTGACACACAACACTTTGGTAAACTATTTAAAATTGATGTGACTGTTAAAGCACAATTAAAAACAGCATCACACATACTAAAAAGATTGAATAATCTATTAGTTTCTGGGCAACCAGATGAAATCATTGCAATGACAAGTAAAAACAGGAAGCAATCTGACAGTGTAAATGTTTTCAGGGGGCTTTTGCCCACTAGTAGGAAATTTGGCTGTGGGTGAGGAACCAGACAAAGAAGAAATCAGACGACTCTTGTCACAGAAACACTAAGGAAACAGGCCTGGGGAGGGTGCTTGAATGAAGATTACCTTGTGCCTGGGCCTTAGCCCATGGTGCCTGGCAGGCTGCAGTCCACAGAGCAGACAAAGTCTCGGCCTCCTATCCGGTGTTTAAGTCTGACGTCATTAGCTGTGCCTGGGCCCAAACTCCACTGCAGGTCCTTAAGTCACACGATCACTGCGGCATCACTGAGAGTTAAAAACTGTCCAAATCTTTTCATCTGTAATAAAATGATCACCGCTGCTGCTCTACCAGGTGTAACAATTCAGTTTAACATCCAGGCATCCATTAAAACCAAATTTATGAAATTTAATGGCGTTAGAAGTTATCAGGGAGTTAGCTTGCTAGTTTCCATATATAATATGGTATGGTATGGTATGGTATATAATATACCATGTTCTGAATTGGGGATTTCCAAAACAAATTAAGGCTTACAGCTCTGCTATCACTTCCAAAATAAATGAAGACAGGAAAGTAAACAGCAGTGACATTTGTAGGGTTACTGAAGGTTGGCTAGCTGGTATATAATGATGTGCTAC